AATATAAACATAATTTTTTTAAATCCATTATAAAACTAATTACAAAAAAAAGCATTACTATTTTTAATTCTGCTTTTGACCAGTCTGAAAATCGAATGTCGAAAATTTATGGAACCGTTCAATAATAGTTCAACAGGGTATTGTTAAATTTGTAATATCCAATACTAGTTCAGTTTAATTTTATTTCAAGTTTATAATTAAACCGTACACAACTTCAAGTTAGTTAAGTCGCTCATAATAAATTTTAAACCATTAAAAGTTTACAGTTTAATTAAAAGCTATTACGAAATAGGTTCTGTTTGGAACAAAACAAAATTATTATATTACCTAATGTTTTTTCTTTACTTTAGAATAATAACATATTAATATTTCATAAAAAAATGGTATTTTAAGAAAACATTTCGAAAAAATAATTTGTGTTTGTTTAAGACCATACTTTTTTAAAATATTATTTAAAAAAATTTATTTAAAAGCAAAAGTTAAACATAGGTATTTTTACAATTTTCCTTTCATTTTCAAGAAGTAAAAAAAACTTGTTCTGACATTGGTTTAATTTTCGTTTTATTTTGATCTTTGCACATTTTTATTCTTTTCAAAGGTAACAGTATCAGTAGCTCTAATTTGTAACTTTAGTAATAAATAATAAAATAACAATAATAATAATATAGGTAATATGATTTCCTGTGAATCAGAAACGTTATTTCATTTCATTCTTACAATAATTATTAATGTAGTAACTAAATGGGTTACGAAAATAAATTAATATTGTAAGGGTTAATAATAAGCTCGCTTTTATTTGTTGAGATATCAATCCCATACACGCCTAAGGTAAAAGATGGCGGCTATATTTATGTTTCAACTCCCCTTATCTCTTCAATTTTTTTTAGACAATAATACTCATCTTCTTATAGTAAAAGAAAATATATTAAATTTGGTGTACCACAAGGTACTGTGTTAGATCCTATCCCCTTTATTATTTATCTCAACAGTATTCTTACTTATTCAAGTGCGGAAGATTAAAAAGTTTTGCAGATGATACGGCAATTGTTTACTCTGATAATACCTGGACCAATTTAAAAAAAAACTGAAAATGATTTAAAAAATATACTCGATTTATTTAGTTATAAATTACTCACCGTTAATTTTGAAAAAACTTACTTTGTGCCTTTTTCTAACAATGTTAGTACAGTACCTAATTATGATATATTAACAGTAGAAAGATCAAATTTTAAAGAATTTCTCTTTCTCTCTGGATCGCAATTTCTATTTAATGAAGAGGAATCTCTCTTGTTGCATCTTGTCTAATTTGAGCCAACTTTGCCTCCGGGAGTAGATTCCTTTGGATAATAGCTCGTCTTTGGTCTTTGGTTATTAATAATATTATTATAATTATTTTTATTATTATTATTATTATTATTATTAATATGTATTTTTTTATATTTATAAGTATTAATTTGTCTCTTTTCTGAATAAACTAGCTTTACTAAAAATTTCATGTTGATGTCGCTTTAATTTCAACCCTGATTAAACCTCTCATTTTTAATCAGATATTTTTCAAAATAATGGGTTGTGTTCCTTTATAGATCTTGATTTTTGCTTAAAATTTTGAAGTTAATATAATTTTTCGTTTTTAACTACCTAAAAAAATGCCTCTTTTCCCTTGTAAATGAGACACCCTTTATAATTAATACCCTTACTTAAGTACAATGTACAATAAACAAATAGTTCATTTTATTACAAATTCACGTCAGATAAATAATAAATATGCTTGGTTGCAACTTTCCTCTGTTCTACAGTAATTCTTTGTAGAAGATTCTTACACATCTTGACAAGCTCGTTCGTTTTGATTACATAAAATTCTGATATATCCACTCATCTAAAAATTTTATTAGGGTAAAAGCTTTTAGTCCAATTCCATTAACAATAGCGCCAAATAGCCATTTTGTGGAACATTAATAAAACAATTTGAGATAATAGGCAGTATTGTATTTGTAATTAGTAATAAAAAAAATTGCAGAAGCATTCGGGTACCTACTTTGTAAATAAGCTTTTATTAAAGATAATTATGATGTATATTTATAACGCTTTTGTAAAATTGCATTTTTGCGAAAGAAATGGGCTTTTTATTTGAAAAATTTAGGTACATTTGCTTGCAAAAATTGTTCAATATTTACTAGAAATAGAACGCGTTCCGATTATTTTCGGGGTGACACTTTAATTGTAATGTCTATATCTTATTAAACTAAAAATGATATAATACTAAAACCTATTAAAAATAATTTATTTTCTACTCTTAGACTAGAATATATAAAAATATGTAACTGACTGTTTACATTAAGAAATCGAGTTCCCTACCCATATGCCCACCAGTAACTGTACTTTGCTACCTACAGCTGACTGCTGTGGTTCATACACAAGCTTTCATAACTCAGGCACAGTTTATAGCTAAAGAATCAGTTCGTTCATCTGCGTCGGCACTTTTGATCTCAATGTTCCAGTTTATACATTGCGCAACCCGGATTTGTATCCATGGCGCATACATAATCAAATCATAATAGCCCAAGAGCCCATAGCAAATTTTTACTGTCATCTTATAATGAAATGAAATAAGTTCCAAAGGAATGTAACAACATTGTAATTTACTATAACCAAATACAATATATGACAACCGCCCATATTAAAACAGCAGTCTTCTGCGTATCTGTATTTGTATCCTTGGAGTGGATGTTATTTTGGAACATCCAGTTGGTCCGAGCGAGCTAACTGACTCTTTCTATAAACTGTGACTCAGGCATATAACTTTGACAGTCACATCGATAAAATACAAGTAAAATTGAAAGGGTTGTTTTTTCCTATAATTTATTGAATTTTATTTACGAAAACTCAAACTTCAGAGAAAATAATAGTTAACTAAAATCATCTAAAAATAATGATATTCTTATCAAACTAATAAAACATTTTTTAAATGTATAAAGGTTATAAGATTCCAGATTACCCCAAAGGAAAAATCTAGGTGGTTGTGATCTGGAAAACGCGTGGGTCATGTCACGGAACCGTCTCTTCCCATATTATTTCTAATATCTTAAGAGACTTTCCTAATAACTGAGGTAAGACATTTTGCAGAATTTAGAGATAAATTTCTAAATTCAAACGAACAAGCAGCAAGTGAACTGTCATATTCTCTCTTTAACAATACCAGTTCACATGTTCACGAACATTGTTGCTGGTGTCTTCTATAGACCATAACATGAGGATTTTCAGCATACCAACTGTGGCTAGTGGCTGTTTCTGTTATTAAAATAACCATCAAAAAACAATATTTTTTGAAGTGAGGGTCTATTAAGTTATGATGCAGAAAACCCATTGGCAAAAGTAGGGTCCGATTATAATTAGAAGAACAGAACTACGTCATAAAAAATAAATAAGTTGTTAGGTATAATACAATATTTCCTATAATATTAACACTCCACTAAACCCCCAGTAGGCGGCGATAACTAATTAATTACTCTGCCAAATGATGATGTAGCTGTGTTCTTTTAATTGTAATCAGATCCTAGATACTATATTTAATATATAAGATAATAGCTTCGAGACATTTAATCTCAGCATGTTTACCAGTTCGGAGTTTTCTCCTCATAAGTCTAGTAGATTTACCATGACAGAACATTTTTAGTATCTTGCCATCTAGTGCTTACAATACCTTTATCCAAAACTTGTAAATCTCACTTTCCTCTTAACATTCTGTTTCCACTTCATGGTTGTATTTTTGTGATTGCTCATATATGTGCAAACATACGAGAAATTAGTTTTACTCAACAATTTGACAGACGTAAAAATCTATCAAAGCAGAGGCACACATCAGGAAAACGTACTGTACTAATTAGTTTTGTTACAACTGGTTCCCCAGATTATCATCTACAGTATGAGTTTCCTTGTCAGAGCAGACTTTGAAGTCATTAAGGTACTCCATAAAAGAGTTAGATCACTGCCAACTCTTTGTATCCGTTTTATGGGTTTCATCAATAGACTAATAAGAACCTTCAGTTTTGACGTTTTAAAAAGTATATTTTAAACACATAATTATTTCATATAAGAATTAGGCCTTCTTAGGATCAATGTAATACATTTTTGATAGCAAATAGAATTATTGGTGGCGTGATATAGCCCTTTTTATGACAACGTTGCCAAGATAATCGTTGCTTGACCAATAATCTGTTATACTGGGTAGTTTATTATAGCACATAATCATAGTACGACTGAGCTCGATCATTATTTCATATTGATCAGTTTCTTTGGAGTTATTTTTTATTTTTACTGCTTTAGGGTAAAGAAAGTCTTAAATTTGTACAGTGAGCTACATGCTAAATAACATTACAAATATATCTAACTCACTGGAATCTCATCCAACATCCAAATTGACTACTTTGATCTGGAATTGTATGCTTTGGTTTCACATATGGATGTTTCCATAGTAAATAGCAGAACTGGTGTCATCTGCATATTATTCGTTCTCAATTTTTTCAGAATTTTCCTGTTTATCCTAACTTTCACTGCCATTTGAATGTAGTTGTTTTTTATCTTCGTCGCCAACAAGGTACTCTTCATCAGAATCTAAACCAGAAGAAGGCTCTTCTGGTTCGGACAAATCACTGAAATCTTCAGCGACTTTTTGTAATTCCTTTTCAGCAAAAAAACGTAGGGCCATAATTTAGGGCCTGTAATCAATAGAACTATTACCATTTGAGTTTATATAAATGACTATTGGGACACCGCAGCAAAGCAGAAAAATTACTGGGACATCGACGTCCAATTAGAAAAATTCGGCGAATACCATTACGGAAAATGGTTTACTTACTTTGGACAAAAATGATCTCAGAATCCATAAAGTGGTTATTTTGTGTGCACAATCACTGAAAAGGTTAAAATATCGAATTATGGGCTACACATAACAAAGGACTGTTTAGAAACATGGACAGATTTAATTTACATTAATTTTCAAGACCAATAGAAGCCTTTAGAATTTTTTTGAATTTGCGCGGGACATGTAGGTTCCAGAGTTCGAAAAGGGTTAACGCTTATACGTGTGGTAAGTGATAGGTTGTTCATGCACGACACACTGTAACATCGACTTGGAGAATCCCGAATGTTGTGTAATTGCGCAAACACTTGTGGATTTTCTTCCACACAGTGTAGAATTTTTCTCTAAAGGAACGATGGATGAAACTGGATATAACTGTTTATACAGACGTGTAGCTTCTCTTTCATTTTAATTGGCCACACCATAAATAAGGTGTATATTGTTGCGAATTAATATAACACCCTGTGAATAGGGATTCCTTTTTTGTGTCCGAAAGTAGAGTCACGGGTCGAGCTTAGTTTTTTGTAAAACCATAGTGATAAAAGTAACGTGTGCTTCCGCCAGCCTTGCAGCCCAACAGATAGAACATAATGCTTACGTAAGTAAATAGTTTTAGGTAGTTATATTTAGTTTTTGTGTAATTTTTATTTGTTAAATAAATCACAGTTATTTGTTCTACGCTTGTTTCAATTTTCTTTGGTTTATGAAAACTTACGATAATTCAAATACGATCATTCAAAGGCGGGGGTATTGGCCTAATCCGATCTCTGAGAGAGAGAGAAAACTGCTCAAGGGAATAGTTCCTGTAGGACAAACCCTTTCCCCGTCCTCTGAATCATCGTCAGGAAGTTAGGGTTCCTTCTGAACTTAACACCCTAGTTTTGTGTTGTCTAGAGGCCTATTTAAATACAAATTGGGCCCCTCTATATAACTCGTGGTTACCGCTAAGAGTGGACTTAAGGGTCAGTCAAAAAGGCCTATAATCTCACTCTTAACAATATCAGTAAGTTCTTAAAATAATAAATTATCGTACAAAATAGTACTGTCTTAAAATTTAAAGCTTTGGAATATGTATTTTGATATAGAAATGTTTTTGTTTCCCAACAAAGACAAGTAGTTGAGACAAAAATGTCGAATAAAAGACAGTAGTGATCAACTAAGCTTATTGCTCTACAGGCCAAAGGGCTCATTTGTGAACGAAAATTTATTTATCCCGTTATGTTTGTTGGTATGTTTTGGGGCACCTTGTATAATTTCATTTACACTAAAAAAAATATATTAATTAACAGTTGAAAATGATCTCTAGTTATTTACAGCCTTGCTTGAATGTATTTAATTAATTTCAAAATATACCATTAAAGAACTTTAATATTATCAAATTTAGTCGAAATATTCTCCCCAAACAAAAGGTTTCGAAATCTTTTATCAGAAGTAAAGCAATCAAAATAACGAATTTAACGGCGAGTGCTGTCAACATGATTTTTAATTAAATTAGTGGCACATCGGACAAATTAGCACGAGAAAAATATGTTTTCGCAGAATGGGTAATTTCATTTAACAAAATGTTTTAATTTATACGGAATTTCTTCATATTTGGGTAATTTTATTCTTTAGTTTTAGAATTAAATTTTGATTTATGAAAATATTAATAAGCCACCAATTACAGAGCGGATAGCAATCGTTCTGTGTACCTAATTTTTCTAATTATAACCAAACTTTTAAAATCAAAAAATTCACAAAGAAGATAATATCCATACTGTTCATATTCTCCATCTTTATACCAAAAAAATTAATTTAAACCGAAAATTGTTTTATCAGTAATTTTTTATGATTCGCCGCATTTTATACGAACCTCACTAAATAGACAATAAAAACGTAACTTTACTTCTTGATCTCCAGAGTAATGTGGTAGAGATCTCGAAAAGGTCACGATAAAAAACAAAATTTGCCCACCCGAGGCGTGTTATATCTGAATATATGCTTATCGAATCGTGTATATCGGAATTCTCGTGATTTAGTACTTTCTAGAATCCGTTCAAAATGTTCAACCTACTTTTTCTTTTCATCTTCGATAAGGAGCGGTGTCAGCTACTCCATTTTCTGGAAAATTGAATTACTTACGTGCGTTAGATTTACTTCTTGAAAATTGGATGTTGGTTTAGATGTACTATGTTTCTATTCAAAAAATATGATGGAAACAAATTGCATTGTTCTACAAATTTACCAGTAAAACTAATATCGACTTATATAACAAAAATATAATAATATTACAGATAGGCAACAATTAATTTAGAACTCTTTACTAATATGTCAGTTCCCGTTTATTGAGAATGTTTAAAATTAATAAAATATTCATAAAACCATTAAATTAATAATAATAATTTCTTCAGCCTTGAGTAATATTTATTTTGCGATATTGCCGTGTTAATAATAAAGTTTTCTATTAATTATTAAAAAAAAAAGACTACTACAGCTAATTATTCACAAATATCTGATTTAAAACCATTATACATCAAAAGTGTATAAACATAGAATTACCGCTCCTATAGAAAGTTCTAGCGCCCACTGGGGAGCGGTAACAGATGTCTAGATTATTCAATTTTGGTCAGCCTTAAAAAATAAATCCAAGTACACTACTGGTTTCCAATTATAAATATTTGAATTGAAAGCATTAATTTAAGTTAAAGCCTTTTTATAATATCTACTGTTTTCTACCATCCGCAGATTCCAGAAATCAATTTTTTTTTAATGGAGATTAATTTTGTTCATTTATCCACGCAACGCGTTTCAAAATTTAATACCATTGAAATTCTGACAGGTTCTTAAAGATTTAAAAACGTATTTGGCATAAATTGAAAAAAAAAACGTATTCCTAAACATACAATTAAAATCTATAACAAACATTTTATGATTCGTCGGTTCCCATGAACTTTGGGGGAAACTGAAGCGATATTTTTACGAATAAAAATATTCTTTTATTGAATTATCTTTTATCGAAACCAAATTAAATGCTGCATTGTTTGGGGTAATCCTAAACAAAGTGAAAAAATTGAACTCTTAATTGTGTAAAGAAGGAAATAATTCCAAACTCAAATGCGAGCGAGATGTAAAATACATCAAACAAATCTTAAAGCAATGGTTGCAATCAGTTGCGGCTTGTGGTAATTTAAAAAGGGTGTTCACTTTTTTTCATTAATTTTATCGTTTGATTTGCCTGATTATGAACATTGACCAAAACAAGTTAATGCATATTGAATTTCTCCTAAAATTGTATCATCCCTTTTTCTAATTTCAGCGTAGTATATTTTATGGAAACCTTTAAAATAGAAAAACTGCTTTTTGTTTCATTAATATAATATTTCTATCCTCTCTAAATCAAATTATTGACTTTTAAATGCTGCAGTAAATTCGAAAAGTCTTTTTCAATTTTCCTTATAATCGATGTTATTTAAAGTTCACTTTCCAATTTATCTAATGATATTTTCCGAACTCACCGAAATTCGATTATTAGAAATTTAGATTCGAGAAGCAATTTTCCACCAGCCAATTTAAAGATTACTCTAAAAATTTATAATTAATGAGGATTTCCAACTAAATTACTTTTTGTTACTAGTCAATATTGACTAGCCTAAAATAATAGTCAAAAAAAATATTTTGAAGACTCCATTGATGTATCTTAATTATAATATCTAGAACGGCTTCTATCTTTTGCATGGTTTTCTCAAGAGTTGCAGTGCTTCTTTACAGTAGCGTAGCTTATCACAGGGAGCAAGACATAGTCCAGGGAAGTTAGGAAAAATAGCGAAATTTGTAGGGACAGCGGACAGCAGATATCAAGATGCGGTTTTCTACATTAAGTTCAGGAAGGTCCCAGGAAAAAAGTCTATTTCGTCTGGTTTAGCCATTTTTTGAAAAATGCCTTCTGGACCGGAAAATACATTTTCCAATTGCATCATTACTTGCACCATTATAGGAGAACGACTGGAAATTTGAAAAAATCGCTCGGAAATCGTGACTGAAAATAAATTAACCTAACCTAACCTCCATTTTTATTGCACGCACGCCGCACGGGAATTTTGTTTAGGCATTTTGGTGGTTTTTGTTTTCATTTTGAGGAAAAATCAAATCGTAAGTATACTAGTAATTTTATTTGGTTATTGGGTAAATTGTTGGGGTAATGTTTGTTTGACATTTTTAAAAATCAATTACCAATTATTTTACTGCTTAGTCAGTGAATACTCTTTCCGAAATGAAAGATGCAACGCATTATTTGAAGAGGATGAAGTACCTGACGAAGTAGATGCACCTGGGGAAAAAGCTGCTAGTTTATGGAGGCACCATGATACTTTAATTAAAGAGAACCGACCACAAGTGCACAGTAATGACAAAGCTGCTGAAATTACTTTTTATTTAAACCAACCAGTGGAAGATTTGAATAAAACAAACCCCATTAAATTTTGGAACTCCCAAATGTTTGTGAACCTTCGTAAAATAACTGTACGATACTTCTGTATTACTGCTACATCAGTACCATCAGAAAGGCTTTTTTCAGAAGCAGGTCAAATCCTAACCGAAGACAGAAGCAGGCTGACTCCTGAAAGATTTGATAGGCTGTTGTTTTTGAATTGTTTGGAGAGAGAAGATTGGTGTTTAGATTAAAATAAACAATAAAATAAACTTAAATAGTGTTAATTTTTTTACAAGCTAAAACAAAAAAAATCGAAAAGTCGATTTTTCATAGAACGATTTTTATATTAACGTAAAAGATCGATTTTTAAAAGATCGATCTAGATCGATCCAAAAAAATCGATTTTTTTTGGAAAAATCGACATCCCTAATCTGATCTGTATTAATTCGAAAGGAAAATTTTATTATGCTTGCTTCACTCTAAACATTCTTCTCGTTATTAAATTAATAATTAATTATAATTTCCTTCTAAATTAATTAATAATCTGAATATAATGTATCCCAATTAGGATTATCCATTTCATTATTATCTAATAGTATAAATAGCTTTGTTAAACAAGGAAACTGAATATCTCGTAACGTCCTGTTGTATGTATATGGAGATCAAATATCCCCATATTTTATATTAACAACCATTCCTATTGCTCCTCACGTTCACTCAAATGCCTATACAGCACTGCGGGCCTGACAATACCAGAATGGCGCGTTATCAACATTTCCAGTAGTCTAATTTCGGCCTAATGAGAAATAATTATCTGACCCTCCGAAGTGAAATGAATAGAAATAGAGATAGAACGTGTTCAAGCTTAAACTGAATTCATTTGATTGATTATATTTTAATTTAAGTTTTTATGAATATATAAGCGTTCGTTTAATTTAGGAATGTTAACATAATCGATTGTATCCACAAGGGTTTTTGCGAGAAGAAGTGAGGATAATAATTGGTTTACAATACGATTAGCACGGCTGTGTGTTTAAATATGAAGCTAAAATGACACACCGCTACTTTAATCTGAATGTATAATAAAACGACTGAATTATATTTAGATTTTTAACCCTTTTCATATTTGACACATGAGTTTTTCTTTCGAAAAAAGTTTAAAATTGCTTATAAAATGTTTTAAATAGCAATAGGGAATTTCCTGTCAAATCTGTCGAAGAATCGAAGTCCATCAGATAGTGGGCAAAATGTGAAAAACCTGTATGGTTTAGGTTCAGACATCTAGTTTGTTCCTTTTGAAATTACGAGAGGTCCTACGTTAGAAAGAGTTGCAAGTGTTACACTTTAATTTGTAGATCCCGGATAAGCCTAAGATGTCAATTTTATCCTTACTCCTAATAAAAAAGCTTTTGTATAGGGTTGGAAGTCCTAGAGGAAACTTTAAAGTAGTCTTTGAAAAGACTACCCTTTTTATAAAAAATGCTACCTATAAAGGTATGAGATACATACTTTATACTAGTAATTTGTTCCGAGTATTAAAATTTGTGGGTTATTAATAAAGATTGACTGGTATTGAATTTTATTTTGTTTTCTTCTGAACATTCTGTCAGTCAAACATGATTCATAGTTATAGTCAATACCAATACTTTTAATAGTATTAATTTTTCTATCAAAGCAATCCTTTGTCAAAGGTATATTAAGTAAAAGCTGTAAATAACAATTAAAACAAGCCAATTTTTGTGTAGCTGGAGATTAAAAGTATTGTCCATGACTGCACCTGTATGTGTTGGCTTTCCAAAAATGTCGATCAAAAGTATAGATCCAAAAAGTTAAAAGTTTTATCGTTTTCTAAAATAGCTTGAATTTTATATTATTGTAAAGATTAGTAAGGTAAGAGAAGAAAACGGACTATCTACATGTTAATCTTTCGTTCCATAGGTAAGTTTATGAATATGAATGTTATAAATCTCATAGACACGCAGAAAAATTATTTCAAAACGTATTTAGGCACAGTAATTTATTTGTAGGTAACGACTAACTTTAAAAATGTTTGGTTTTAATTATAATTGTAAAGAAACTGACAAGCAACGATAAATCTTTGCAACGATGTCCAATTTTTATGATTATTTTTTTGTTAGGTAGTACCTCAAGGGTGGTCTCATTGAATAATGGGGTCCACAAGAAAAACATCAACCTTTTTATTTTTATGTATTTTCAGCAATAATTCTTTACCACATTGTTTAATTTCTATGATTCTTTTTTTATTAGAAAGAATTTATCTCAGGGGTGCAGTCCCGTATTCAATTGATCAGAATCTGATGATCTCTAGCATAGAAAATATCGAAATATTTTTTATATTTCGATCCTTAATCAGTTGAATGTAAAATCTAATTATCGCCAGTGAATACGCAGATACCATTGTACACACTTGAAATTTAATGCTTGATATTTTCCTGCTATTTTAAATTGATCCATTTCATTTATCAACTATTTCAAATCGCTTTTAATTGAAATCAGAATACATTTTATAATTAATGAAATAGAATATGTTTTTGTAATAACAAGGTTCTAATAATTTCAAAGAGATAACACAATGAAATAATTATTACAGAAAAATAACACTAACAAAAACAAATAATTATAATTATTATTATCGAAACAAAATTACTTTTGTAAATATTAATTAAAATTAAAACAATTGCGGTTATTGTAATTTTTGCAAATAATGGAGAGCATCAACCATATATTGGAACAATAATATGAATGCAGGCATAAATAAATACAAATATATAAATAATGAATAATATAAATAGTGGTAGGTTAGGTTAGGTTAGATTGCTTCCTGATATAAGTGAAATTAAATAATGTAGAATTTATTTAGTTCAAATCATTTATTTCTATCTTCTCTTATTTACTATTACAAAAATATACAGGGTGTTTCAGATCAGACGAGCTACCCCGTATAGTTCTTATCCCATAGTAATTGGAAAAATTTCCCGAAACACGTCGAATGATTTTCTTTGGGGGGACATCTTTTGACGTATATTTGAGGCTTAAATGAGCAACCCCCTATGAGGAGGCGCTTCAACCCCTCAAAATTAAATAGGAAAGAGGGGTTGAGTGATACTTCAGGCAAGATAAGAAAATGTTTTGATTTTTTTTAGAGAGAATTTATTATTGCATGGAAGTCAATGAAAGACAATTTGAACATTTGATTTAAAAACGCAGTTTTAATTTTTCTGATTGTAAGCATGATAAAACAATTTTTCCAATTACTATGGGATAATAAATATACGGGGAGCTCGTCTGAGATAGAACACCCTGTATATTAACATGATGACACACGTCTTAAACCTCCAGACATTAAAATTGGTGCTCAAATCATTTCCTGAGATACTTAATTTATTTTAAAGGTAAATTTTTCACTAAAGTCTCCAATTAATATTCGTAAAAATATGTAGGTATAGGGAGTTTACCTGAATAAATCATTTGCGCCTGGAACAGTCATTGCAATTTCGGAGAGTGGAACCATATTTCATAACAAAATCCGAGTTATATTACCCTTATCAGTTGCAGTGCCGTATGCGTTCATACCAGAATGTCGCACTGATGTTATGTATATTTTTAGGAACGTGAACTTCGTCTTTTACAAGTGGCCTACTAAAATTCATGGCCACTTCCGAAAAAAATATTATACAACAATTATTTTTGATAATACAGGTTATAGACGTTAACATGCAAATATTTTAAAAGTTAAATTATCCTCTACGAACAATAATATAAAAATTAAAGAAAAATATGTCTTAGTACCGTATCTAGTACTTGGGAAGATGATGGCACTTGTTGGACTATTAAAAGTACAATACGAGGATATATCAGTATATAACGAGACTAGTGCTATAACTTCTTTCAGAGATAACATTTTATAACCCAAAAAATGAGACATGAAAGCCTTATATTTAATATACTACCCCGCAAGTAGGCTTTGATTTAACTTTTGACATTTGTTACAAATTTATTATTGAATTGTCATTGTTTTGCGTACCCATCGAAAAATGAAAGTGGAGCAAAGATACGCGATAAAATTTTGTGTTCGATTGGGTAAAACACCAACTGAAACTTTTGAAATGATTAAAGTTGCATATCTAGATAATAGTTTATCACGATGCAGAGTGTTTGAGTGGCATAAAAAGTTTAAAGACGGTTGTGAATCAGTTGAAGATGAACCTCGTCCCGGTCGACCACAAACTGCGAGAAATTACACAAAAATTGCAGAAATTAACGACTTGATACAAAATGATCGCCGGATTGGCATAAAACGAATTTCTGACAATGTTAATTTGTCTTACGGTACCATCCAAAAAATTATTCATGAAGATTTAGAGTACCGGAAGATCGCGGCAAGATGGATTCCAAAAGTGATGACCGATGAACAAAAAGCGAATCGAGTGAAAATTTGTCAGCATTGGAAAAGGCAATTGCAACGTAACCCACAGTTTTTAATAATGTGGTTACATGTGACGAAAGTTGGTTTTATCATTACGATCCTGAATTGAAGTCTCAAAGTATGCAATGGAAGCATAAAGGCAGCCCAAGACCGCAGAAGGCCAAAACTGCTAAAAGCGCTGGTAAAGTGATGCACCTGATTTTTTTTGATAAATTTGACGTTATTTACGATCACATTGTACCTAGAGGACATACGGTAACAGGGGAGTACTATTCTAATGTACTTCGAGGACCCTTAAAGGCAAAATTAAAGAAAAAAAGGCGGCTTTATTAGGACTTTGGCTGGACGCTGCATCACGACAATGCTCCGGCTCATAGATCAATGATTTGTCAACGAACAATTGAAGAATTAGGGGTTGAAATTATGGTTCATCCCCCCTACTCTCCTGACCTTGCTCCATGTGACTTCCAATTGTTTCCTGAAGTCAGAAAAGAATTGAGAGGTAGAAGATTTGAGTCGGATTTAGAGCTCAAGAACGCTGTGATGGGTATACTAAACAGACTATCAAAAAATGGTTTCTCAGAAGTTTATGATAAGTGGATAAAGCGATGGGATAAGTGTATTCAATAGAATGAAGAGTACTTCGAAGGATAGTTGTTGAATTTTTTTAAATAAATGTTTCGTTGTTATACTATAGCACCAGTCTCGTTATTTTCTGATACATCCTCGTACAATGTTACAAATTACAAAAAAAGCAATATAATTTATCTTGCAACGTCAACATATTTTAATTGGATGGAAAAGCTAGGTTATATTTTAAAATAAACTTGTGTTCTTATCGTTCACTAGAT